ATTTAAAAGCTATCTAATAGTGATTAAGCATAAAACATGTCATATATACATCAATAAAACCATAGGGAATAAATATCCCGAAATTGTATTGAGAATTTTGAAATATACGCAACTAGAAAACAATTTTAATTTCCTAATTCGCTCCCCATCGCCTGACATCAAACACTACAAATATAGTCAAATATTAATTACAGCTACTTATATAGATAGCTGCTGGGAGAAGCAAACAGTAGTTCAAATCAAGGCAAGGACATTATAGGTTCTAAGAAAAAAATCTAATAGATTTATTCTACTTTATGGGTGACAAATGTAGAGTAAGTAATTTGGGCATAAGAGTTTGAGTCTAACCACACTTGGGCCGCCGATCATAGGATCACATTTTATATAAAGCCATAAGCCGTAAAAAGCATATGACGAATAAATTGTCAACGTCCCTGAGAAGAGAAATCGGCCAGGTATAATCAGTATAAAAAATAAAGTATTGGGCAAACAATAAAGTAAATAAAATATAAGGGTATAAGTGACCATATGGAAGCTCAATATGTGGAAGTGAAGTCCAACAAAGGGGCTACTGAGGAAGAAATGAAAATTTGTTTCACGGGATTATGAACAATAAACCCTAGCAAATACAAACATACACGTAAAGTGAGATAAATTAGTAATTAGTTGGATAAGGCGGGGACAAGGGGACTAAAAGGAAGATTAAGTGCTCATCATTGTGACAAGTTATATATTACGCTCTTATGGCTTTGATCAATTTCCTTGCCGAATATAATCTGTAAATTTTTTTTGTGATCCTGGTTAAGGATAAGATGTTAAAGCAATGAGCATCACGGCACGAAATTTGATGCACTCTCCAGTTTTATTCACATAATGCCATCCAGAGAAAAAGCGAGGCCAAACCGTGAAAAAGGATACGGCAGCCATACAAGCGCTTGTAGCAGATTTAGCGGAAGCTATTATCAATGTAAATTGGCGTTAACAAAACATCGTTTAACAAATTATCACTTGGATTTTCGCTAAGCATGCCTACAGCACCAGTCGGACCTGATCCACCACCTGGGACTCGTGAGTTAAGTCCTGAGAGAGCGTCATTTGCAGCAGAAGGACAGGCTTTGATAAGGCGAGCAAGAGACCGACAGGCGCAGTCACGCACTGACCAAGTTGGATCACGTAACCAGGCCAGGTTAGAGGGAAGTACAGATTCACGAATTACAGATTCCGACTATGTAGTTAAAAGTAAAAAAATGAAATATAAACGAATATAGATTCAGGTTCGATAGCATGTGGTAATAGCTAAGCATTTTTGATAATTTAGGGAATTAGGCCAGAATAAAAAATGTTAAATACTGAAACAATTTGAACCAAAGATTTCAGATTCTATAAAGGATTGCATCAATGTGAGGCATTAATTTAAGTTTTCGATACAAAATCATGAAATTTAGTATAAATAATAGTTATTTCGCTCAAATGGGCCGCAAGTTTGGTCAGTATTTTGGAAGCTAAAGCTCAATCTGTAAACTAAATGAAATAGATAAAGAAAAAACTGCTCGCTAAACACATGACTAAAGCAGGAAACTCAAGAGACTGATAAAAAACACAACATTTTGCGGGTTACGGGGACTTGACATCAAGGCCTAATATTAAGGAGTATATAAGAACGTCTTTAATAGGAGGAACGAATGTAAAAATTAAGTAGGAGCTGTTTGTGGCCGTTAGATAGGTTTAAGGAAAGAGAGAGGAATTCTAGGGTGAGTCACTGAACAAAAGGATTTAATCTAGCTATGACTATCCCACTTCCCATGACATGAAAAATGTATACAGACAATAGGCAGTAGCACAAGCCCAACAATGATTAAACATTAGAAGTTCGTAAATGTGTGCAAGGAAAAAGCTGCCACCGAAAGCACTTCCGGTTCTTAAAGTAACTTTACTCACTTGCAAGCATGTAGAATAAAGTTGAAGTAGCCAACCAAACCATGGGATGCCT